TTAGTCAAACTACATATTATCAATTCTGTTAATGTTTCCACTCATACCATCTTTTCTTTTGAAACTTCCTTTGAACTTTTCCTTCTACTTAGAGATTTATATCTGTAAATGTAGATCATTGTTATACAACTGACTGTTCTGGACATATATTCACTCACTCACAGGTGCACTGACTTTGCTTTATATATTTTCCTATCATTTTCTCACATATTCAGTGATAGTCCTAACAAATTAAGAAATAATTTTGCTCACTTATGGACAATTGAGTAATAGAATATATCTCCAAGTTGTGAAAAAGTCAGTGCTAACAGATGACCTCTGTTATCCTCTCTGTGATGGCACTCAGCCTTTTCAATGGGGTGGGTGGCGTGGAGGAGGGTGATTAAAGCAGAGACAGCACTGGATGCAACCGAGAGTCATAGCTATGTCGGGAAACTCTGTCAGATTGAGTCATTGCTACCAGGCTCTGAAAGAGAACCATGTGGGTCATTTTGCATTTTCTTCAAGGAATTGTGAGAAAGATGAACTAGTTGCATATGGTGGCCGGGAGAGAACTCAGAGCCAAAATAAAAATATGCTCAGCTGTGAGTACCTAAGACCTTAAAGACAGGTATCGGAGCATCTGTCTACTGCTTTTAAAAGAGTAGAGGCTGAACTTCAGTTTTTCATGCATGCAACTCCTACTGCCATGGATAATGAAAGCGACTCTTGCTGCCTGAATACAGCAAAGATAGAAAAATTTGAAGAGAATGGCAGTCTCTTAAGTAGAGAAAATCAGTGAGAAACTGGATTCATGAGATTGTGCTGTGTATGTTAAAGAAAAGAAAGTTATAGAATCCTTTGTATGATACATAGGATATTTTGAAGCCTGTTCTTCCATGATGAACCCACTACTGTCCTACATTCATTAAGAAATATGATTTAGTCTTTTTAGAAATTGAAGTTGTTTAAAGTGAAAGAAAATGAGTAACTATATTTTCATCAAAGATGACTAAAGAATCGTGCCTGATTTCAGCGTATATCCATCTATTTTATTTTCCTAAACAATACTAATTGAAAAAAATCAAAATGCTAACATTCTTTATAGTCATTGGCCCAAAGGTACACACAAATGTCTACTTTTCCTTAATTAAGTAAAAAATACATTGAAGAGAATAAATACCATGAATTGAATTTGCATCTCCCTTTTTGGTCACATCTAATTTTATTCTCTGGAGTTTGTTACTTTTCCTTAATTAAGTAAAAAATACATTGAAGAGAATAAATACCATGAATTGAATTTGCGTCTCCCTTTTTGGTCACATCTAATTTTATTCTCTGGAGTTTGGGGGGGTTGTTTGTTTGTTTGCTTGTTTTGTTTGTTTTTCACAGCTTCAGTATTTCTATCCCAATGCCAAGTGTTTTGTGCTTAAGGAACATTTTGTTTTTATCTTCTAACATATCATCCTTTATGCAGGTCACATCTATACCGTCTGAACACAAGAAATAAACGTCCAGGATTCCCGCAGTGTTATTTTGGGGGAAAGAAATCTCTCTAATGATTCACACTTCAAATTCCTTTTCACTATAGTCACATGCAAAGCCAACTTGTCCCTTCTGTATATTGTCTTTTCTTTTGTAAATTGAAGGTCTCTTTGGAACAACTATTAGCTGCATTGAGAAAGCCATGTATAGTTAATTATACACTTGTCATTCATTTATGCAATGAACATTGAGGCACTTTATCTCAGACACTGTTCTAGATTCTGGTGATTCAAAGATGAGTAAGACAGTTACAGTTATGCCTCAAGGAGCTCATGGTTTATTACAGAAACAGATAAGTAAAAAGATAATTAAAATACAGTAAGTCAGTGTCACCATAAAGGTATCAATTTGATGCTCTTTGATATTATGCATACTTGAAATGAATCTTAAAGACTGAGTAGAAGTTCAGCAGCTATTCAAATTCAGAGCAGGCCTTCCAGGAAGAGAAAACAGGACATGCAAATGTGTGGAAAGATGAAAGAGTATGTTGCTTTGAGGGGAGAAGTGATTGGGTAATGTTGTAGCACCATGTGCGTGCAGGAGGAGGAAGGCGTGGAGGGTGGGGGGTGCGTGGGAGAAATCAGACAGTAGACGAGGGCTAGACTTCAAAGGTCTTATCAACCACAATAAGGAATTTAGCCTTTATCCTTTGTGTGTTGAGGGAACAACTAAGGGATTGTAACCAGGGGAGAATAATGATGACAAGCATGTCTTTGAATGAGCCACATGCATGGATTTTGGGGGGAAGGCAAAGGAAGAGCAAGACTAAAGTCAGTGAGTCCAGTTGTAATACTTTTGCAGTAATCCACAGAAGAGCTGCCAGGACATACACACACACACATGACATGGATGAACTCTAGAGGTGAAGGTCAGAAAAAAATGTTGTAGACTTTATTCTAACCCTAACATAAACCCCTGCATACATATTTAGTGATACAGGGAAGCACCCTAAAACTTGTGACAATTGGTACATTCATAGAATAGCTGCCAGATGTTGTTGGAGAAAAATAGGCAATGGTTTGGGAAAATGGTCATAAAATTACATATGAAAATCATCTTATAAAGAAACACATAGAGTACAATTCTATTTCCATTTGTATTTATACATGAAGAGAACTTGTTGTGAAGGGTACAAAACCGACATTAATCATTACCTCTAAAGAGAGAGACGAGATGGGGCTGTGGGCAAAAGCTTTATTCATATATTCAAAATTTTTGTAAGAACGTGTTCATACATTACGTGTAGACTTAAAAATAAATAATATTTTATATTTGGAGAAGAAAATATAAGGAAAAGACTAAAAGCATATAATGTCAAGAGTAGTTACACTCAGCATTGAGATTTGTGTTGATATTATTTGTATTGTCTTGATTACACAAAGAAATAATCATAAATTATGAGGCTTAGACTAAAACTCTCATGTGAAAGGATAAAACTATATATCTGGTACATAGCAGTCACTCACTTGGAATCAACTCAACATTTGCACCGGATTACCTGCAAAAGACAGTGTAGAAGATCATTGTGTCCTGGAAAGTCTGTGCCCATTAGCTTAAGGCTACTACAGGGAAAATGGTATTGATTTACCATAAGAAGAAAGAAGGAAGGCCATCGCAAATTGTAAAGATACCAAAAACAGTTAGGACTGCTAACTCATTGCTTATCTAAGAACACCTGTGGTCTAAACTCACCTTGTCCCAGTGGAATGGGAGATTTCAAACTAACAGAGTCCCAGCTACTTAATTTGAGAATAATTTACCTTATTCCCTCAGCTTGTTCCTTGTTTACCAAACAAGCCAATTTCTGGTCATAATTTGGCTTTCTGCATGAAATTCTCTCTGAGGAGACCATGACACTGGGCCCTCACAATGCTCCTGTTTTGACTGTAAATGGAGACCTGAAAAAAGTCTGTTAGTTTTGCGAGTGTGTGTCTGTCTCTGAGAGGCTGAAGACCTCCAAGAAAGGCATCAAATTGAAGCTTCAGATCAGATCTGGAAGGGGGTGTATTCACCCAGGTAGCATTTTTCAGGACTCCCTTTGGTGATCTGTTGCCTTACTTTGCCCAGGTGAAACCCATCTCCTCATGGGCTGGCTGTGGCCTTAAACGTGAATTGGCACTTTAAAAAAAATGCTGAAATTGTGCATTACCAGTGACTTTTAGCCAGCCTCTCAGAGTTTGAAAATATAAGCTTGTGTATGATGTCAGCATTAGAAGGTTATTTTTACTACTGTTAACTAGAAATTTTATTAATCATTGAAACTAATAAAACGTGACGGGTTAAACTGCAAACTTTGCTCTGGCTCAAAAGAGCTACTGAAGTATCTGAGAAAGTCATTGCCCAGAGGATATGAATACAGTGTGCAAGATCAATAGGAAATGAGCGGACATCAGACAGGGAGATACATTAGGCAACTATTGTGATTTGTTCACTAGTTTTTTAAATTCTAACACAATATTCTTCAAAATGTTCTCACTGGAGAGTCTGCAAAGAGTAATCTGAGATGCTACTTGAAAACACTTGTTCCTGGGCCTAGTAAAGAGGCCTTTTTCACAAAAGATCAGATGATTTGTTATAAGTACAACCATTGGAAGGCCATCAATCTAGGCTAATGCAAATATTACATAAGAAATGTTTCTAGGAAGTAACGTAGTTTCCTTGAAGAATGCCATATTCGAAATAAAACAATTGGGATTTTGAACTGGGGATACCACTATAATACAAGCCCCCCAAAGGCAAAGATTTTTGTCTGTTTTGTCTGATGATATATCTGCAGTGCTAAGAAAATGTCTGATATATAGTATATGCTCAGCAAACATTCATTCAGCATAATGATTAAGAGCTTGGGTTTTAAATCTAGCAGCTGAATTACAGCTTATCTTCTGTAAGCCTAGGTATGCGAAATAGAGATATTATGCCTAGATCACAGATTTAATATAAAAACCAAACTAAATAACAGCTAGAACTCATTTAGCAGAGTGCCTAGCACAGAGCAAGTTTTCAATCAGTGAGACTTATTACTCGTATTGCTATTAATAATAATGTTTAGCACATTAGCATTATTAGATATTAATGAAGAGACATGCTATATTGATACTCTAAAAAGGCATTTTTGTTTAGAGATTAATGCTTGTAATAATAAAATAAGCCCATTTTTGTTGTGGATCTTGCATTAACAGAGAATCATATGAATTTGAGTAGGCATAGTGAAATAAAAACCAAGCATGCAAGTAGTAGAAAATTTTACCTATTTGTAATTTGGAGTCTTTCTTTCCTGCTTTTCTTTCTTTCCTTCCTTCCTTTGTTCTTTTGACATTTGGTTCAGAGAGCTTGCGTCTTCATTGATTTATTGGAAGGGCTGAATTCAAAGAAGGGAGAAAATGATGAAAAGGGAAACATTCAACAAGTTGGTCTTCTGGGTTCTGTTACTCTGTTGAATAGCTTATTTTTTTTTTTTTTTTTTTTTTAAATTTCAGGTTGTATTTAAAGGGTCATACTGGGACAGCAGGAAAACAGAGCAGCCTGATCTTACACGGTGCTGATTTCAGCACTAAAGATGCTGATAATGACAACTGTATGTGCAAATGTGCCCTCATGCTAACAGGAGGTAAGTCCTATGGGGCCATTCTCTAAGCTATGTTTCACTGGCTTGAGACTTGAGGTTTCTTATCTGTGAGAAAGGGGTACGATCTTCTGTTCAGGAAACTTAACAGCAAGTCCCTAGAGATCATTTTGTTCTGCCCATTAATTTACCCTGCATTCTTGTGCAAGACATTGCTAACATATTTAGAGGTTTGTCTCCTCCTCCAACACCTATAGTGGGAATGTGCTAATTTTGTTCTGAATAAATTCTTTAGCCTCTTGAAGTCCCAGTTATTCTACCTTCTAAATAATCACCATGATACCCCTAGTGGAATGAGCAACAATTTGAGAATTTAGCATATAGAGCAATTACTTCTTACAAAACGCTTTGCAACAGTGTAGTAAAGTTCATTGATCACTTTGTTGAAACGGAATAAGAAAAATAATGAGGTGTAGTTAAACCCAAGGTTATCCAACTCAGATCAGCTATACCAGGGTTTTGCATTATGTAAGTATGATATTGACCTTTGCAAGACAGTTTAGCTAGTATAGGAGATGCCATTAAATAATATTGCATCATAAAGTAAGAGAGTTAATTCATTTTGCAACTTTTCAATATTTTTCCAGCCTTGTGACTGTGCTGAAGGAAAATTCTGAATTTGGTGCTAGCATATCTGTAACACTTCTGCAGCACTTACTAAAGAAAGAGCAGACCCTTGGCCTTAGGCTCAGAGCCTTGATTAGGCAATGGCACCTACCTAGAATTAAACAATGTTATTTTGTTTGTTTTAATTTTATTGAGTTTAATGTCTACTTTCTATTATAACAAGTAGTACTGGTTTCCTCTCTAAAGGAATGATGTAAACTTTGCATTTTAAAATGTATTCACAATATTTTATACTTAATAAATCATTGATTTAAAGAAAAATATTAGTTAACTATTACTAAAAGTTATAAATGGATATGGCAAAATCTGTGAAGTTGAAATATGACTAACTGAAGTTCTGGAAACACTAAGCTAAAGCTCAATGGTGAATGATGTAGCTCTAGAATGTTATAGGCTCTGGCGAGGAAGGAGTTGTCACTAAGCAAAATTGTGAAGGAAACCTCCTTTCTGTGTCCCTCTTCTCACAGTTTTAGTGTTGTTTCCCTCTCTTAGTGTAGTAGCAATCACTCCCACCTTCAGCTGTTCTGATACTCTTTCTGTGTTACTCTATAGCAAAACATATTTTCACGCTAGTAAGGAAAAAATTGTTCAAATTTTAAAATTTCCTTCCCAAAACACAGTATGACTGCCGCTATTATGACATATCACTATATGTTGCTGCACATGTTTGTACTATCTTATTTGATCTCCAGACCAACTCTGTGAGGTGGGGAGGGAGAGAAACTCTAATCTCTACTTTGAACATAAGGAAAATAAAAGTCGGTTATTGTTCTCCAATTTATTCTTAACATCTAGTGCAGTAGATTGTGACACATAAAAACTCAATAAAAAATACAGTACATGAATAAATGAATAACTATCCTGTAACCCTTGTAATCACTTTCAAATTTTAAAGCCAATGAAATAAATCATTAGTTTGACATTTTTCTCATCGATTAACAGAGCACACAAAAGCAAGGAGAGAAGGTTTTGGAGAAATATTTTCATCTTTCTTCCCATCCCCCACCCCTTTATCTCTACCACCACCATATCACAGCCAACTGAGTCCCATCCTCTCCTCCTATATTGACATTTTTTCAGTGTGAGAGCAGCTCCACTATTATCAAAGACAACCTGTTATAATTCTGCCTCTATCATATCCTCCTTAAGCCTTGAACATGTCATTTTGGCATCACATTCAACCTCATCAAATATTTTAAAGTCTTCTATATGTATTTTATGACCCCTTCCCCCCAAAAAAATAGTTGCTACAAATTTACAATATTTTAAATAATGGTACCCATAGGTTCGATCTTGAATATTTTCCTGAAAGAAAAAAACTTTTTTCATTACCTCCCTAATTCCATAAATAAAATTGTCCGCAACTTTATACAAAGACAAAATGACTTTGATTTTTCAGTGTCCTGCCCATTTTTATATTGAACTATACTTCATTTTCTCTATTACTATTTTAACAGATAATTTTTCTTTTTTTAAGATAATTTATTATACTTACATGTGGGGTACAACATTGATTTTCAATAATTATGTATAATGTGTGATGGTTAGATCAAGATAGTTAGCTTATTCATCATTACAATATGCAATCGTTGTGTCCTTTAACCGATTTCTCATCGGCCCCCCTCCCTTTCCCCCTCCCCTCCCCCTTTGATAATTTTCTACCAAATAAATATAATACACAAAATACCAATAGTAAAATCTTTCAAATGGATTATTAGAAGAGTGTTCCAACATGTTCATCTTCCTGTAATGAAAATATGGATTGAACCAAAGAGGAAAATGCATCTCTTGGTTGTTGAAGAGAAAACTTCATTACTTAGATTTATGATTCAATTTTTGTTTCAAATGATTGAAATTTGTCATGTTCTTTCATCCATAATCGTTCTTGGACTCACCAATAAACACATATGTTGGGGAGAGAACATTTCCACTTATTGCTAGGGCTGAAATAGTCTAAGCACATATGTTTTTGTAATAAACACCATTACCCTATCAAATATCCTTTTGAAAGAATCCAGGTCTTGCAAAACTATTCACTCTGCAAAGCTAAAATGTGGCATTTAGATACCTAAGAACTGGAGAACATATGGAAGAATGTCAGTGACAGTCCAGTTAACTGGAGTATTGCCTGGAACTCGTGTCCTACTGAGCTAATCCCCACCACCATTATTTACTCTCCATCAAATTTTCCCTTAGAACCATTTTCTTCATCTAGAGATACCTAAGAACTGGAGAACATATGGAAGAATGTCAGTGACAGTCCAGTTAACTGGAGTACTGCCTGGAACTCGTGTCCTACTGAGCTAATCCCCACCACCATTATTTACTCTCCATCAAATTTTCCCTTAGAACCATTTTCTTCATCTAATGATTTTTCCTTTTCTTCCTTTCGTTTTTTAAATTTGTATTTGAGCTTGTTGCCTATTTAAAAATAGTTTCTTTTAAGCTATGAGACTTCATACTCTTTGGACTAATAACTCATAGTTCTTTGTCATCATCAGTTAAAACTTTGTTTTATCTTGTTTATTTATATATTTTTCCTCTGTTTCTTCTAAAATAAACTATAGGTAAAGTAAGATTTATTGCCCACTAACTGTCCTAGATAGTTGTCTTCAAGTACCTGGAGGGATTTTAGTTGGAGAATGTGGTATCATTGTCAAAGACTGAATAACAGGAGATAGGCTTAATTGAAAGCAGATTGTATCTCAGCTCGACAGAAAGTAGAACGTTTTGATCTTTGTTCCTTCTTTCCTAACAGTCTAACTTAACTTCCTTCTATCAACTTAACAATGAGTACCTATTAAGGGGGTCAGCTTCTATTAGAGAAATGAGCAAAACAGAATAGAGCTCACATCAGTTGAAGAAGACTGTCGACAGAAAAGTAAACAATAAATAACACAATTTGAACCATAAAAAGCTCTACAAACAAAATATAATATGTGACCAATTTATTAGGAAGGGGAAAGTGATATTAGATGGAGTTTCCAGGGATCAAAGACTGGAATGAGTTGACAGTAAGGATTGTGCATTTCTACTTATAAACATCTTCAAGAAGAGAATAAAAAGCTATTTATCTCATAGAGTTTGGTTATGCACTTTTCTGGACTTGTCAGTCTAGTAAAAATAGTTTCTCAATTTTTCTTCTGGTTTTGTGATTCTGTTATCCCATGTACTCATCACACCTGTTAGTAGAGAAAAACAAGTGATATTATTTTTTCTTTTATTTTGAATTGATAAAATTAATTAATTAATTTTTTATTTTTTAAAAAATTTTTAATCGAGGGCCGGCCCAGTGGCACACTGGAGAGTGCACCGCTTGGGAGTGCGGCGGCGCTCCCACCGAGGGTTCGGATCCCATGTGGAGACCGGTTCCCGCTCACTGGCTGAGCGCGGTGCGGGTGCAACACCGAGGGTTGCGATCCCATTGCCGGTCAGTAAAAAAGACAAAAAGGAAAAAAAAAAAATTTAATTGAAACATAATTGATTACACATACTTGTGGGGTACAGAGTTTACTATCAGTATTTGTGTACAATATGTGATAATCAAATCAGTATAGTTAGCATATTCATCACTACCAAGGAAGTGATATTATTTTTCATTGCATAGGTGGTAATTCATAGTACATTGCTGAGCTGAAAGGAGACATACTGAGCTGAGAAAGCATCATACAATTGCATCAATAGAAATAGATACTACAACACTTTACACCCCCTTTCCCGGAGGTATGCGTCCTTATTCTTACCCTACCAGAAAGCCATCCAATTTTAACACTGAATAATTTTTATGTCTCATTACATATTTCTTATTGGATCAGAGCCTTTATTTCAAAGTCAAAATTTCCACACACATTTTCTATGAAAAAGACCCCTTAATTAACCATTTAATAGAGATGATTTGTCAGTATAGATTTATAAGCCAAAATATCTGTACTGTGTAGTTGCCCTTGACTTCAGGAAAATTTGTAAGTTTTCTCCTTAGGTTTCCTTCTTTACATAGGATATTACTGAAAATCTGTATATATCTGTAGTGGGAAGGATACATTTAAGAGATAATTATAGAAATATTTTCTTAGAGCTCCTGTGGTGCCCTCCTGAGCCCAAAGAAAGGAATAAGTTTCATTAAAAACTTAACAGTTTGATCTACTATTTAGCATAAAGAAAATAAAAATGTAATCTCATTCAATACATGTTTTTGTTTGTTTAGATTTATTGTACATAAAAATAAATATGCAAAAAAACCTCTGACTTCAAAATTAATAAAATGAAAAACTTACCAGAGTGTCACATTCATAGTGAACTTATATTCATCTAAAAGATGGTCTTTGGTACTAAATTAGGGTTATTCAAAATAAGTATTT